TTGGATAAATCTTCAATGTACCAACTTTTTGCTTTTTTAAACTTGATCTTTTGTTCTTATTGGTTTTATTAGAATTATAATAATAATAATCTTTATTTGTAGAGCACTTTTCAAAAACAAGTTACAAAGTGCTCTAACAAGTGTAAAGACAATAAAACCCAAAAGACAATAATACAAAAACAATACAAGATAAAAGCATGAAAACATTGAAAAGACTAAAATACACGTGCAAGATAAATATAAAATTAGTAAAACAGAATAACATAAAAGCCTCGGGGCCCTGACAGCAAACGCTCTGTCCCCTTTAGTTTTCAGTCGAGACTCTGGAACAGACAGCAGACCTCTGCCCGAGGATCTCAAGGTACGTGCTGGTGTGTATGGGACTAAAAGTTCAGAAATATAACAAGGCGAGAGGCCATGAAGAGCTTTAAAAGTGATCAATAGAATTTTAAAGTCAATTCTAAAACATACTGGGAGCCAGTGTAATGAAGCTAAAATAGGAGTAATGTGGTCATATTTCTTTGTTCTGGTTGATGAGTTCTGGACAGTCTGGAGTCGATCAATAGATTTTTGGGATAAATAGGTGAAAAGGCTGTTGTAATAATCCAGGCGTGATGAGATGAAGGCGTGTAAAATGGTCTCGGTGTCCTTAAAAGTTAACATAGATCGAATTTTTGCTATATTTCTAAGTTTATAAAAACATGATTGAACAAGCTTTGTGGTGTGCTGCTCGAAATTTAAATTACTATCAAACCAAACACCAAGTTTCTTTGCCACAGGCTTAATGTGATTTACTAGGGAACCAGCAGATGGCAGTATTTGTTTTGCCATCTGCTGGGACCCAATGACCAGGATTTCTATTTTGTCTGAGTTCAGCTGGAGGAAATTATTTCACATCCATTTTTTAACTTCACAAAGGCAGTTGTTAAGTGAACTCAGCATTCCAGGATCTGTGGATCTGACGGGCAAGTACATTTGTGTATCATCAGCATAAATATGAAAAGAAATGCCATGTTTATGGATAATATGTCCAAGGGGAAGCAGATACAAGGAAAACAAAATGCGTCCTAAGACCGACCCCTGAGGCACACCATATTTAACTGGACAGAACGAAGAGACATAGTTGTTTACAGACACGCAAAACTTCCTATTTGACAGGTAGGATGAAAACCATTCTAGGACAGTGCCAGAGATCCCCACCCAGTGCCTCAGTCTGTCTAACATTATGTTGTGGTCAGTGGTGTCAAAAGCAGCGCTAAGGTCCAGGAGTACTAGGACTGAGCACATACCTTCATCAGCAGACATTAAAAGGTCATTGGTGACTTTAAGCAGGGCAGTCTCAGTGCTGTGGTACTTCCTGAAACCAGATTGAAACTTTTCAAATATTTTGTTATTTTCCAGTACAGTGAGCAGCTGTGTGGACACAATTCTTTCTAGAATCTTTGCAATAAAAGGCAGTTTTGAAATTGGTCTAAAATTATGTGGGAGGGAGGGATCTAAACCAGGTTTCTTTAAAAGTGGGTTCACACAAGCCGTTTTAAAATAATCAGGGACGCAACCAGTAGATAGGGAGCTGTTAAAAACAGAGATCAAATGGGGCCCAACAGAATCTGTTACATCAAGTGGGCTGGAGGACACTCTCATTTGTGATACTGTTTTTAAACGCTCAGATAAGTCGATGGGATAAAACTGGTTAAAACTCTCTTGTTGCTGGTGAGGAACCTCTGAGTAAGAGGCCGCGGGGGTAATAGAGGCTCTGATTGACACCACCTTATTGGTAAAATAAGATAATTGATAAAAAATAATAATAGTCATCATTACTTCCAGCTGAGGCACAAGGAGGGGTTGGGTTTACCAGCTGATCCATAGTCTTAAATAGAAACCTGGGATTGTGTTTATGTGTAGTAATGAGTTCAGAAAAATAGCGTGTTCTCGCATCCTTAACCATGTTATTGTAGTTAATTAATAAATCCTTCAGACTGAGGTAATGGACTTGGAGACTGGATTTTTTTCTATCTGCGCTCTGCTTTCCTGCATTCCCTTTTTAGGCTGCGAATGCTGTCATTTATCCAGGATTGCTTACTAGCATTAGACGTAGGCCTAACCTTTAGAGGAGCAGTAATATTTAGTGACGACAAGCAGATATGATTGAAGTAATCGACCAGATTGTTGGTGTTGGGATCAGACAGGTTTTGGCTTTGGCTCTGAAAGAATGCGCAAAACTTTGAAACACTTTGTTCATTAAAGATGCGAGAACACACGAAGCTTGGTGAGGCGGCATGAGTAACAGGTGAATCGCAGCTAAAAACAATACATCTGTGGTCAGATATGGTCATGTCCACTAATTCCACAGAGGAAATGCTGACACCCAGGGTAAAAACCAAGTCCAGCGATAAATTATAACAAATATGATAGGTTGCAGCCCTCCAACTTTAAGAGTGAGAACTTCAAAGGACTTAAATTCATCACAGCGTACTTGATGACATTTTAAATTTTTCCTGTACACGCTCACTAGCCCACCACCACGACCACTGACCCTTGGTTGACTAAAACAATCATATTGAGGCGGACACAGTTCAGCTAGCTGGCTATAGTCATTCATTTGCAACCAGGATTCAGTTAAAAACATAAAATCTAGATTTGCAGACAAGATAAAATCATTTAAGATAAAAGTCTTACTTGACAGAGATCTGTCTATTATTTCTGTGTGGGATGTGCACATTTCGGTTTACTGGTCTATGCGTGATGATGACAGGAATAGAAGTCTTTGGAACAAGGCTGGTAGGAGACGGCTTTACATGCCAGCAGGTGGAGACAGTTGTTTGTGGCAGTGAGGCAGAGATCTGTTCAGTGAGCGGTGGTGCGTCCAGGTGTGCTGCATGAATGATTAGCCATTCACGTAAGTCATGTGTGGACCGCACCACATGCTGTATGTGAGGAGCTAACATTTCTGAGCCCCGTTTGTTTGGGTGAAGTCCGTCTGTCTTAAGATGTTAAAATTATCCACATAACACACACGGTGAGCCCTGCAGGCGGTTAAAATCTGATTTTGTCAGCTCAGACTGCTGAAGAGCTGTGTCATTTGTTCCCACATGGACTATCACTCTTGTGATGGAGGATGGGAGCGATGGCATTAGGTCCAGGAGTTTTTTTAAAATGTCAGCCGTGGTGGCACCGGGGAAGCAGTGAGTGGTAGCGTTAAAGAAACGGATGTTTCTGGTTATGGAGTCACCAATTATTAGTGTGGTTGGGGAGAAAAGAGGACGAGGAGATGCCGGTTGTGGGGTTCCAGAGCAGGACTGAGCAGAATCTGCTTCAACACTGCGTGCGGACTGAGGATGGAGTGTGAGCTGCCGCGTGTTGTGTTGGAGTAGCAGTAACATACCTGAGAGAAGGGCTACCCGACAGTGCAGGGTAGAGACGGCCTCCAGAACGTCTGAGCACAGCCTCCTTCAGGATCCTATGTTGGGAAGCAGAGGTTTTTGACCGGGATGACGGCCGCCGATCAGGCCCAATGGCAGACCGGCGGCCCAGTTGATCACCGTTTGCCGCCAGTGCAGGAGATGTAGCCGGTGAAGGAGATACAACAGTGTCGGCAGGCACTGTCTGCCGAGATCCGTATCAGGGAGACTCAAAGCCACAGGTGCATCTGCTGGATGGACCGGAGTGTCGTCAGACAGGGCTGCATAGCGGTTGGAGAGGCCGATGTGTGGAGGAGAGGCAGCCCCGTCCGAGCCTCTCTTGCAGCCACGGACCGCCACTTCAGCCCAGGTTGACTGATGCTTCGGAGTCGAGCAGGAGGAAATCCTGGGAAGGGCAGAGGGGTCCCATAACACGGTGTCCTGGATGTTAGCGGAAACAATCTGTTTGGCTTGTACTGAAGCCACATCCATAAAGCCAGTCAGCAGGGAATCTTTCTCTTTGAGTTCCTCTGAAAGTCGTCGGATGTCTTCCATAAGGTCAGCAATCTTTTTGTTCGCTTTCTTCAGGAGTGTGCAGTCCTCATGGGGCAGAGGTCTAGCATAGCCGCCGGAGCTTTGTTGTGGTCAGTAGTGTTGATGGTGTTTTTACAGTCCTCTAGCTTAAAATCCATATCGGATGACTAAAATCCTTGACCCACGTAAAACTTAAGTTAAAAACTTAAGTAACGAAAAAGTGTGGATTAAAACTGGATAAGAGTCCGGTTTAAGACGGAGCTTCCGACAGGTAGCTACAGACGCCAACGCATGCGCAGAGTGCAGATTACGTCAGCAATTACGTCAGCGATCTTAGTATGTGTGAATTGGTATGTGGGACAAATGCAGGGCTCACTGCTGCAAATAACTCTTCTCTGTAGTAGAGAAACAATTCTATATACTTCATGTAAAACTCTTTAGCAAGCTCTTAAGTATGTGGGAGTTGAGGCTAGTGAGAACTACTGAGTTTATAGGCTGTAATACCGTGGACTGAGACTCCATCCAATCTGTACATTTTATTGAAAATTATTACATTTTGACAGATTGTTTCTATTTTAACTGGTGTAACTTTTCTAGTCTTTAGGGCACTGGATTAGTGACCCAGGAAACTCACAGACCAATTGCATGTGTTGTAAATCATCTCACATGATGCTAATAAGCCAACCAAATCTGTGCATTCTGCATCTGGGTACTGCCAACTCCAGGCGGTGAGTGAGATTCACACACCAACACACATGCTAACGCACACACACACACACACACACACACACACACAGGAGAGAGACAAGACAATCAGAGAAACGTCTTTGAATTTTAACTGAAAACGCCTGGCATAAAAAAAAACATTAATCACCTTGTCATAGTGCTTATTACTAATGCAATGCAAGTTGGATTAAGTGCCGTCGGCACAGGTTGCTGATGTAGGCTACTTTTGATTTTGCCAGGATGTCTCTCACAATGACAAATGCCAGTTCAATTGGTCCACATAAAATCAAACCGGTTTAAGCTTGTAAGCCAGGCCGGCAATGAATGCTTCAGTCTCACCTGTTCTTCTTTGGTATACAGCTGGAAGCACTCATCTAAGGTACAGCTATGCTGCTGCAGGTGCTGCTGCTGCTGGTTCCTCACACTCTCTGCATCCTTCACCACCTCCTCCTGGATGCTGCCAAACAGACTGAACACACACACACACACACACACACACACACACACACGGTTTCAAGCAAATACTAAAATAACAACAGTTGATAAACTGTGTGTGTGGTCTGCCTACATGTTTGTTAACATATATACAGTATGTACTACACTAGAAGTTAAAATGTTTTTGCGCAATGCTTACCATTCTTTAGTCTTGTGCTCCCACTCAAGGACAATCTTCACATGGGCAGGACCCCCGGGGCCACAGAACTTCAGAGCTCTACAATACAAGAGAGAAACTGTAAAATCACATTTTAAATCGAAATACATATCTTCTAGTCAGTTTTACTAAAAAGCAATGCATCATCTCCAAAAGTCTGACACCAGAAAACCAAGGGAGGCTGAAATCTGTGTTAACCATCTGCGTCGCCAGGTCATTTTTCCGGGGCATGTTTTGACTGTACCCACGAATGTAACTCAACAACAGCAACAAAAATATTTTCCATGTTAATATGCAATAATCTTCATGACGCAGCCTGTCTCGCAGGTCTTAAGAGCGGAGTCTACTCGCAATAATATCGCTACATTTTGTTTGAAGTTCACTTAACGTGACCCCCCACCGTTACTGCCTGTGTTTAGAGAGAGCACGAGGAGAGAGAGCGAGAGAGAGAGAGAGAGAGAGAGATCACACATTGCTCACAGCTTCAGGGCTTATCCAGGACTTCTGAATTGCAAAATTGCAATCAGTACATTTAAATATAAATGTTGTCGGTCAGTATCTAGTCTGTGTATTAACACAACAGTCGCTGCAAAGTAGTGAGAGATATCATGACACCTGACCGCGACACAGACACCTGTCCTCTGTGTCCTGCTGTCTCTGTCCCCCTTGCTCTGAGACACTACTGTTATTGCCTCCAGGATGCTTCATTCCCTCTGAAGCGGCTGTGAGCTGCACTCTATCAGAGGTGCTGAAGTAAACATTTGTGGTGATATTTCTGTCTGATCACAAGTGTTTTCAGTTTTGGTTTCTTCCTCTGATGAACAACAGTGTGCTCGTCTCATCGAGTAGGCTACAAGTCAAATTATTTATTTATATAAACCTAACTGTTTTTAAAAAATGGGCAAACGATCAGCCCATAAAGCATAGGCCTATAATGGGCCGGCTTTTTTGTTGTTTGAAAGAGCAAAAATACATAAGAAAACACAGAAATTACAAATTAAGCTTATTCTAAATATAAAACTTGTAGAAATATTGAACTATATTGTCTTTGTTTTAAATCATGAAGCCTCTACTTGTGTGTAACACACAAATGACTTTCTGATGACTAGCCTAGTTTAGATAACTTTTGGAGCTCCCTTAAATAAACCAATTCCTAACATTTAGGAATATTTATGCACAGCATCTATTCTCAAAGTTTTACACTTGAGTGGTCATCCAGGTCTAAATAATGGTTTGCACTTTCAATAAGACATGTGCTGTCAATGGAGTCACATTAGTCATTTGAAGACAACAAGCACCATCAGTCAGACAGGTACTGACTGACATAAGCAACACACACTAATTAAACTAATTAAGCTAATTTATCATTGAGGTGAAAAGGTGCCATATGCACATCTAAAAAGACTTTAGGCTACTTCAGGCATGCATGCATGTATGTAGACTCAGCTGGGATTAGATTAAATGAGAAACAGGTGAAACATATCTGACAGTCTTACTGCTTTATACTATGCTATATTCTTCTTATTCTGAATTGTCACCTCAGACATTTCCCCAATAAACTGGTACAAAAAAATCATCAGAATGCAGGAAATCAAGTGTTTAACCTCAATTCATGCAAAACACCTATTTAAGGCATATCCAAAGTAAATTGAATGTAGTTCTTGAACCATTTGGAGTAAATGCATGGTTGGGCTTCTCTGAAAGAGAACACTCTGGAGTGTTTAACCCAAAAGTAAGTGCTACTGGAATTGATTAATATAAGTTTAAACACACTAAAACTAATATATTTTTCTGCTTGAAAATGCTTGCTAACAAATGCATGCAGACAACTATAGCTGGGACTTATGAGCTGGAACACACTGTAGGGTCACAGCATAAAGCCATACCTAATACTAGTTTAAATTTCATACCAATACCACGAAAAATTACTATTTTAGACAGGTTTTTCTAAGTGTACGTGTCAGCGTATTTTTTCTAAAACAGCACTGCCCCTTGGCGGCAGGCGGCTGCATCGCTCCGTATCAGCCAGTAACTCGACGCAGATGTGTTTTTTTGCTTGTAGATCATGAACTTCCTACTTAAAGCTGGATATCGTTATTTTCAGAATTTTATTGGCAACATGAAGTGCCAGTCATCTGCACAATTGCTTGCAATTGGCTTGACCTACCCACGAAATAATAGGGGCTGGCACTTCCTTACAGCGCGGGCTCTCGTTGGCTTTTGAAGGCTGTGAAAGGGACATGTGAGCTCTTATTGGGGCGAACTAGCTGTCAGTCGAAAGGTTAGAGTTCAGAGGCTAATTTTAATACAAAATATCGTAATTATTTACGTTCAAATCGGAGTTATTACGGTTATAATGACATACGAGCCACGTCTGCCGGCAGGTATGAAACGATACCGCAGCCGTCCCTGGGGATTTATTGAAGGAATAATGTGTTTTGGACTAAATGTTTTTACTGGATTGGATCGTCTGGACCTTTGACAACATAACAAGACCATTTTTGTTGGAATACGAAAGCTGCCGCCAGGACCTGACGGTCCGCAGGCGGGCCGTTGGAATGTTATTCAGGGTGTTCATGCTGTTGTTTTTTTATTGTTTACTGTGAACATGTAGAGACTGAGCGTTACCACTAGATGTCAGCCTTACAGATCATGTCAACACAATCCAGAGAGGTTAAAGAACTAAATAAAGCAATATTTTTAAAAACCTTATTATAAAAGAGGGAACAAACATCAAACTCTGATATATAATTAACTAAATTTCCACCTCCTGTATCTATAAATGCTCCTCTCCACTATGAAACAGTTTATTTATTTCAAACAGAATATTTCTCATATAAAAATTATCCAATAATATCAAATACAGACAATACATGAAGACTCCCAGCTTCCGACAGACAGCTTATAACAACACGGTGCAGGATGAGAGTGTGGCAGAAGTTAGCAGACAGAGAGCGATGGACTTCACATGACAGGATTCACAACTATAATAATAATTTTTTATGAAAAGCTGTTTTGATTCTTTTGATCGGTGGAGCCTTATAGACTAAAGTAATATAAATAATCAAGGAATGGACACATGCGGACTTAACAAGCACTTCAAAGGTAAAGGGAATCGGCACTTTTCTTTTTCTTTTCATCTCTTGTACCATGCAGGTTACACCAGTAAATCTATAAGAATTAGACTTTGGGGCTTGATGTTTCTGTTTTGTGGAGAATCTAACTGATCTAACGATGTGTTGCATGTTCATACTGACATATTGATCATATGTTTAAACATTAATATTTGTATTAACAATCTAAGCAACTTTGAAGGTGACCCCACAGGGTTTAAGAGGTTTTATACATCCAGACCAGGCGTTTAATCAAGACCTGCGTTTATTTGTCAAAATGTGTTTCCACACCAGGCCAGTAAACGGGGTAGGTGGCTATTTTGGACTCGGCTATTAATTGAAGTTTTATGGTATTACATGAGTGCTGCAATAATGATTGCATGTAGATGGATGAGAAATCTTATCCTTGATGGTGTAACACTCACTACAAAATGCAAGACACAAAGAGCTGTCTTTTGCCTACTCAAGGATTCATAGAGTTCTTATGGAGCTACAGGGTTTTGCAAATCTAACAAACTAAAACTGTATGTGTGTGCGATGGGGCATGCATACATGTGCGTATCTGTTATGTGACAAGTGAACATTTATTGAGTCCTGCATTACAATACCTAATAAAGCAAGTGACAGATACACAGACTATGGACCTTTGAGTGTGCCACTGGAATAATTGTAGATGTTAACAGCATTTAACTAAAACTAGTAATAAAGATATTTTTTGTCTTTAAATTATAAACTCATTTCTGAGTTTCAAAAGTGAATTACAATTGCTTTTTATTATTTCACTTACTAATGTGTCTGCCTATCATATTCCATATCAACATATATTTTTCCTCTTTTAACATTTCCATTTGATCGCTTTAATGGAAAGACAGTTCTCTGTGTAAGCAGTGTGTATTTTACAGTTAATAAACAAAAATCTACCAACTTCTTTGTATGTTTTATCATGACAGTAATAGAAATAATAAATTAGCAGCACATCTATGTTCCTAGAGTCCTATATTTCCCAGCTCACTATCCTCTTAATATGAAATATTAAGTCGACCTTTCAAAGGGTTTTATGTTCTCCGCAATGTTTTTTTTCCTTAGGTCACATTTTCAGTGTATGTTTCACTGGGTCCCCCGCCCTCAAATTTGCAGACAAGACGCTTGGCTTGAGTTTAGACATTGATATCTTTACAGTGGCTGAACCAATTTTTAATATTTAATCTGCATTTAATACATTCATCTCCCGTCATTCTTTTGCATTTTGAACTGCAAAGATAGCCGTACCAATCTCTCCGCAATTTTTTATATCAAGAGACACACATGCCGGGAACATAGGGCCCTGGGAACACAGGGATGAGCCCTAAGCATCGAGTCCACAGTCTGACTGTGGTACATGAATGAATCTCACGAGCCCTAAAGTCCCCAAGCGGCCTCTTCAGTATTCTTCGGCATATGGGCTGCAGTTCCAGTAGAGTCGGGTCGAGGGTTTGTATGGGTTTATTGTACTGAATGGTCTCAGTGGTGAGCTCATACAGATACAGTAACCCAGAACTTATTGTTGACTTTTAACTTGATGGCCTCTTTCCATGCTATATGACCTCTTCGGGCAGAGGTCTTTTATTTGTTTCCGAGGTGCGGCTCAAATCTAGAGGTAACATAACATTTGCAGTCAGAATCCCGAAGCATTTGAACAATCTGCCAATCTCTTAAAAAACACTTTGATCAAAGAGCTTTTCCTTATTTTACTTGATTTCATTGCTCTTTTGCTGGCTTCATTTGCTTTCCATTCTATGGGAAATTGTTTTTGGTTTTTAAAATATTTAATGTAGGGCTTTTTAGTCTTTATTCATGATAGAGACAGGAAATGTAGGAGAGAGAGAGGCGACGACATGCAGTGAAGGGCCATGGGTGGGACGAGAACCTGGGCCTGCTGTGGAAAGGGTAAGCCTTTGTACATGGGACATACACACAAGCGATGAGCTAGCCAGCGCCCCTAGGAAATCATTTACATGATCTGCTTGTTATGAAGTTGTTGCCTTGTGTGAAACACTTGGTAACGTGGGTTTAGAAAAGTGCTCTACAAATAAAGATTACTATTGTTATAATCTAATTTTGATTGTTTTTTCTATCCTATTCTATCTTATCCAGGGAAGTTGTATTTCAATAGATTTTTTTTTCCAATTAAAATTTGTCACAGTGAGTTCAGTTGATTATCTAGAATAGCCAGAACATTTTTTAAGCTTTGAGAGCCACAAACTTAAGGACACAAAGATACTGGGTTGCTGGCAGAAGAAGAAAAATCTTGGCACTTCAAATCAAATCTACCAGCTACCGAAATGTACAAATATATTGGACTATCTTTTTGTGAAGAGCTGGCAGGCAGACATGGGGCAAAATTAACAACCAACACAGACAGAACACATTTTACAAAATACCAGATAAGAATCTAACTTTAGACAATAACAGAAACCCATGTAAACAGACAAACACCGACCAACTACAACACAGGGATCATAACAGACAAACCCTAAACGAGAACACAGAACTAGAACACAGAATACAGAGCAGATTAAACCAAAATAATACGACAAAAAACTAGAAGCAAATACTAAGACATGAACTAAGGCACAGGACTAGGAACAAAGACATGGAACCAACAACTAGACTCCCCAACAAGACACAGACAGGATCGTGACAACCCCTGAGCACGCTGGTTACCCACAAGTCACTATGATTGACCTAAGGCAACTGAATCATATAGCTTCTGCGAAAGAAAAGTATGCAAACATGTAAGGAATGTGATAAGAAATCAGGCTCCTAAGGAGCTTTGTGACCTGGTGGTACATCTCAGGATTTCTGGCTCGGTAACTCAGGGTATCTGTGGGGAACTGTAAGGTGCCCTTTCATAACTTCTCAACTGGACAGATGGCTTCCTCTGTATGGGATTTCAATATGTGGAACCCACAGACCTACAGTGGATCATGGCCGGGAGCATTTTAAACTTAAATGAAAATAATCTGGTCATTGAGTTTTATGGTAATTTTATTCCATCATTGTTTGTGTTTGGTGATGTATTATCTTTTTGAACTTTGCATATTTTAAAGACTCATCTAGGGACAGACAATTTAACAGATGGTTAGTTTTGATATTCATCATCTATAGGTATTGTGAAAAGTGAACAAAAAAACATCTGTCATTGAATATGATATAAGCAATGAGCTGTGGCTGACACAGAAAGGGCAGTTCACACAAGCACATGAACTCTCACAGACGCACATGCTTGAATAGACACACATACACACGCCTATTGACTGTATAATCTAACCTGAAAGACGTTCTCATTTCCTAGCTCCTTTGTTAAAGGACTGACCCTCACTGTAGCTCAGTACAACAACTAAGCGCCTCAGCTGTATGGTGACACCTTGAAGCTCTTTATCACACAGGAAACGAAGGCATTATCTTCATACCGTCATTATACTTACTCATAATCCTCTTAACGTCTATTCACTTCTGGACGGAAGAAGCTTTTCTGACTGCTTTTCTAGTGCTTCAGTGTCTGATACAGTTATTTGTTTGTGTGTTTACTGCTACAGTACAGATCAGTCTGTTGTGTGAGTGTGTACGTGTTGGTGTGTGGGTCTTACCTGTCAACGGCAGGGTGGTACAGTGGCCTGCTGTCCTGTGGGGACAGGTAGCTGTAGGATGCAGAGCCTCCCACAACTCTGATCTTAAAGAACACCCCAGCATTCTGTGACAGAGAAACACACAATAGCACAGCTAGGTCATTAAAGAGCTTACTTTCTGAGAGCTGCTACTCCAACTTAAACAATGTCATCAGAGTCAGCAGCAGAGAGTGTTAAAACTCATCCCTCTGGTAGTAAAAAACTGGTGAAAGGATTTTATGATTACAATGATAAAAAAACAACAATTGAAGATATATCTAGGAAAGCTTGTTCAGCTTTAATTTTCAGACAAGAATGAAATTCCATGGAAAAATAGATTTTTAACGAGCATGTTCAAACAGCAAGTTGATGAGCAGCGGTGTGCAGTCAGGACACTGCACCTTATAAATCAATGGATAAATATTTTTTACGGTAGTATGTTTAACACAATCAAAACAAAATTGACTACAGTATATACTCCTTTATACTTTTCCCCGACAAGTTTACTCCTTGTGTGTGCAACTATTTATTGTTACTGCTGTATAATAATAAATAAAGTTTTTTTAAGAAAAAGCAAACAACTCACCTCAAAGAGCATGCATTTGTAGAAAGACAGCGTTTGAAACTGTTTTAGAGGGGTGTTGATTCAACTTCATGGTCATTTTGGAAATGTAGTCTGTAAGTGCTGTTGAATTGTACTGTTATTCAAACAGGTGTTTCTAATATTTTGTGCACCCTATTTATATCAACTGCACAAACTGTGGAGTATCATGGACAATGATTCTCACCCTCACCCTCTGCACTGGTAACGCACAGAAACACGTTCAGCAGCTGACTGTTAGCCCCACGATGCACAACAGAACGCTACAGGAAATCCTTTCTTCCTGGGGCAATCAAACAACTCATCTACCTCATGTATATCATTGACATAATCATTGAACACAAATAGAGAAAATGCATTTGCAGATGGATTATAACTCCTCTGCTGTCTCAGCAGCAAAGACAAGCGGGGTAAGTTATTAGGGAGCAGAGAGCAGAATCAGGTTGCTAATGTGTTCATTCTGAGCGGGCCGCCATCGGAGAATAGGAGCTGCAGCCGAGCATAAAGAGAAATAAATTAGTTGGTTGATAGGAGCCAAAGGCAGCAAATGAAAAAGGCACAGTCTTTCTTTTCGTTTGTAAAGACCTGAGTAAGTATACATTCAGAGGGCCTTCTCTATCTATTGAACTATAACAAAGAAGAGCAGACCAAGACAACGAGTAATTACACAAGGTACATTTTTGTATGAACTTTGCAGAGTTAAGCATCCACAAGCATCTATGTGACAAAACATTTCAGTCACAGATGATGAGGATAATTAAAATAATCCTTGGGTAGGTAGGAGGCTCACACGTAGCACGGTGAAGGTAATTGGTAATGCAGTACATATGGTGACCTCAAAAAACATGTTGTGGAACAATTTGTCTGTCAATCACTCTGGAAGTCTTTTAGGTGAGATCTCACAGTTGATCAATAACACCACAAAAATAACAAAGTCTTGAAGAACTGATTCAGTATTTTGTAAAATACCTGAGATTATTTAAACGGTTAAAAATTTTAACTGGTCTGTCTGGATTTTGTTTGCCAAGAAAACACTTTTTAGTCTCTCTTTTTCAGATAGTTGGAATTCTTGACAATACAAAACAAGCACAATTTAAAAGTCAGATCTCAAGTGCTATCAGGGAATGTACCTCTTTAGGTGTAAGAACAAAACACATAATTTTGCATATATAAGATATTGAGCCTGATGTATTGAATTTGTTTGTTCATTCATTTCATGTGTATTATAAATGTGGTCAGACAATTTTTATAAAATCCACCGAAAGGTCCTCAGTCATCACAGGCTTGGATAAAAATCATATATGCAGGTTTTCACATTAACAATAACTTTCATCCATTTTTAAACCTTTCCTCTGGCTCTAAAATCACTTGACCAGCCATTTGGCAAAAAACATGCACTCTTGTTCAATTTTGATATGCTTCTTTTTACAGAACATCAGGGCTGGGAAAGAAGAGCTGGATTTTTACATGCAAGTTGGTTCCAACTCAAGTTATGTTTTTTCTTTTTTCATACCCTGAACTGAAAGTTGTATCTTGCTAGACAAACCTCTGGGTGGTGCCAAAACACCTAATAATGAAGGAGCAGGCAACCACTTGAATGGCAGCAAGTACCCACACACTTGCTGCGGGTCAAGGGAATGAAGACTTTAAACAGCAAGTTTATTGAAGGTGCTTGTATGATTAGTTCACCCTCTTATTTGTACAGCAGATCACAGCTTTTATTTCTTCTTTTGTTTCTTGTAAAATGAACAAAGCATCAGCTAAAATTTAAGACCTGCACCCCTTTTCAGCTAAAAAGTATCTGTACCATCTACAACTGAAAGAACCTGGTGATTGTTTTTATTCAGGAGCTAGTATCTGGTCAGAGCGGTTTTGAGAAGGTAGCTAATAAATGGATAGTGATCAGAAAATAGAAAACAGACTAATATTTGTCTCTCGTCTTGTTCTTTTCTTATAAAGCTGGAGAGCTGCTCACTTTGGATAAGCCCACCTCAAATATTGCCTGTCACCATGGCATTGCCCTTGGCAACTCGACGACCAGCAGCAGGGACAGTGTGTGCATGCGTGTCTGTGTATTTGAGAGTGCAGCTGTGGTTTAGGGCTTCTGGTGTGCAGATGACTTGAACTGTCTATGGAGATGTGCTCGCCAGGGATGCACTCTGCCATTATAGTTCATTTGAATTAATTGTTTGATTAACAACATTTTCAAGTGTTGCAAATCATTTTTCCTTTCTCTGAATGAATAGAGGACACAGTCTTTTTTCAGAACGAGCAGAATATTGAGAAACTGTATAATATACTTAAAATAGAACAACTGTCACAGAAGGAACTAAAAGACACCAAATCTGAATCGTATTAATCAGGTGCGACAAATAAGTGTTTCTGCAGCTGTGCAAAACATGAATTCTCTGTGTATTTGAAAGCTTTTGGGGAAAGATACACTTTCCCCAAACCAACATTTACGAGGAGATGTGTTTTAGTTTACTGAGGCAGCAAATGTAGTTACTTTGAAATAAATAAAGAAAAGAACTACAACAGCTAATTAATAATGCAGGAGCCAATATAATATTGTAGTCACATACAAAGAGTTACACAAACTTTAACAACAGCGAATCCAACAATTCTTCAGTTGGCATTTTAAGCAGAAGTATCATCAGAGGAAGCTCTTATTTAAAATTAGTATCAAAATCACAAACAACCAACATCTGAGGTACTACTTTTTTAAAACACACTGTTATGTGGTTTAGCCTTTGTCTTTATTTTTACAACAGCTTCCAATGTAAACAGATGTTTACAGTTTTAAATTTAATACACAGGAAACCAATCAAGCTTGTATTCTGCTCTGTGCTGCTATTTTAAATTTAGTACTCTGGAGTCTAGAAGGTCCAGAAATCCCTGAGCCGAAGGGCTCAGGGCACAGAATAAGAGTAGGGGACATGATATTGGAGCTGCGGCCATTACCTGAGCCTGAGATCCATTCAGCATCAAATAATAGAGCTTGCTGAGGATGCTCTGCTGCAGCTGGTCCCAGGAGATGCTCCTGTCCTCATGCATGAGAAATGGAGGTCCAAACCTGAGAGAGGAGAGGAGAGGAGTAAAAACGGGAAAGAATTATAGAAAATTACAAAGTTAAGATATCTCAGTTGCTTTTATCGGTAATTAATACAACCAGACACTATTTTGGTGTGGTGCTGTGAAAATCAACACAATCTTCAGCTTTTTCTTTTGAGATTGATTAACTTGGCAAGTCACCCACACTGAAAAACATCATGAATTCATCTCCATGGAGGATGAGCTTTTTGACAGTAGAAGAAGTGTCAGTATAAAAGGTCATTGCAACTTATTGTGTCACCACCGCATCTGTCAAGCTGTCAGGTGTCAAGTGCATCAAGGCTTTACTGTCAGTGCCTCGTGTCCTGTACTGACAGTTTGAAGTGACATCATGTGGGGGCCGAACAAAGCTGAGAAACCAGTTTGTATATCACTGATGCACCAGTGCCTCATAATGGGTTCTCCATCTCTAGGTCAACTCAATGTTTGTATGCCCCCTGACTGCACTGCAGTGGCTGTATTGGAGGCTATTATACATTATGTGAGGTTAATAGGAGAGGCATAGGTGTTTGTCTGCATAGTCAGAGACAGATTATTTAGACATACGCAGTTGAAAATCAAGTTCCAAGGTTTTTATTATTAAGTTAATAAGAGTGAGCGAGAAAGAGACATACTGTACATACACACACAATTGACATACAGTCAATATCCAGTTTAGTAGGTACACTGAGCTAAAACTGTAATTTATAACAACATCCCTGAAATAATTTCTACCTTCATGCAAGTTTCAATGTTTTAGAGAGGTGTTGATAACATTTCGTTTTGGAGGCTGTTGTTTGTGGTGCTGTTGTTTGTACTCCCAGTATAATAACTGCAATCACCTGGCTAGACCTATGAGCTTCAGTTAAGGGGAATCTTAATGCTACAGCATGCAATGATATTTCTAACAATAATGTTCTTTAAACGTTCGGGCCCTTTCCTGTTTCAACAAACAAAGCAAGGGCCGGAAAGAAATTGTTTTTCAAGTTTGGAGTCAACAGACTTGACTTGCCTGCACATCTTTGGGATAAGTTGGAACACTGACTGTGAGACATGCTCTGGAGGGTGAATGAGAGCAAATCCCTGCAGCCGGGGTCCCAAATCTTTTGGAAAGCCGTCACAGAGGAGTGGAGGGTGAACTGCTCAGGTGTCAACATATTTTGTCGGGGTGTCCAAATGTTTAACGCAATTTGATTCCGTTTCTTGGATGATTTATGCAAGCAAATTCTTATAGCATGATAATTCAAATACTATATTAGACTAATATAGACTAAGAACTGTCCTTTAATCTTGGTGATAGACGGCTACAGTAAAAAGACAGACTTGGATGTTTACAAGAATGTACACATAAGTCCTGTGGCATGTGGACAAATGTGTCCTCAAATTTCACATTCTGACATTATTAGGCCTTTCACAAGGAATGCCTGTTTTCTGTACCCACATGGATTTATAAGTGTATAAGCATGAACCCTGTGTACTCTGCAGCAGAAGACCAAGCTGAGCTTCCCTGTCAAGCTCAAAAGGGCACAAGATGACTAAAACTGGACTGACTGAAGGGAAATATGAATCCATCCTTCTTTGTGTCAATAAAAGTTGAGATTTTATTGATCTCTGCAGGGAAATCTGAGCCCCCTTTATAATTTAAAAGTACTAATAATGGTGGTATATTTTCTTTGTCCATAGTAATACCCTTAGTATCAGAGGATTACTGTCTGAATGCCACTACAATTTTAACCAGGCACTGTCATAGACACAGTCTACCCCTGGTCAAATGAATACTGCCATTAGAATAATGTTCTGAATTACAAAGCACACAATGTCTCACAATGTTTTCAGGAACATTGCAGTGATAGAAGTGATAAATGTACTGCAATTAACTGCAGTTCTTGGAACAAACCTGACAAGAGTACTGCTAGGATGAGGAACATTACGTTGCTATCATGAATGTTCCTCAGCAAATGAGTTTTCCAGCAGTTGAATCCATGCAAGAGAAAATGCACTTTTAATGCTAAATGAACTAACCGAACTAAAAACATGCACTGGATGTACTGTATTTAGCAGGTCTACTTGATAAATAAAAGAGGTATTTGTTACGACCCATGGGCCGTTTCTGTGTATATAGGATGTTCTGCGTGTTTTCTTCTCTGCCCGAAGCAGGACCTTGCCCCGCCCCCAGTGCTGCGGCCAGCTGGCTGAGGAGCGCGTCTGATTCCACTCTCCTAATCGGCGAAGGGTACAAGGGCTGGAGAAGGAAGGTGCTGTGGATGAGAGTATGGTGGTCTACAGTGAGAGAGACAGTGTCAACAGAGAATGCTTGGGAGTCTGCGGCGAGCGTGTGGCAGTTGGCAGAGACAGAAACCGACAGTGGTAAAAAATCTGATATAATGCTCCTGTAATTCTCCCTAGGAATAATCTAAAATTGCATAAGATGTACAAATGTACCACTGTGTTTTTAAATGTTTTAATCGATTGAGATTCAGGCTGCTTGCACTGTTTGGTCCAACTGTGTTGCTGATCTGACACAGCCTACGCGCTAAGAAACTTAATGAGGCTGCCTACCCTTGTTAGAGTAACATATGGCATCTTTTAAAACCTAACATTAACAGGTTACGTGATTTAATTTGAACACATTGTTCGACTCGGTCTCAGGTTTCTACACTGCCAGCTTTCAGCTATGGGCTGAATGGGAGCTCAAGCTGCACAAGCTAAATAAAACCAGCGTAGTCTGAGGCATTCACGCAATAGATGTACAGGTCGAAGTCGAACAGAAGTTGGATGTTGACATTGAGACAGCATGATGAAAGGGGGAAAAGAATATATGAGGTATTCTATTTCAGACTGCAGACACAGTAGAGCAGAGGGAAGAATGTCTCTGCACCAACTGTCTCACAAACGTATGCTGACATCCTCAAATGCAATCTCATAAAAGAAATCTAAGTTGAAAACTGTGTCTGCTATTGTGTGCACTTCACAAGATAACTCTACAGCTGAATTAACTGAGCACATTATATCAGGTCAATAAATACTAAAACCAACAACAATAACAGTCGGCTTGCAGCTCACCTGACAGCCTGCTGGCCAGATCCTGCTGTGTTGCAGATTAGGAGGAGGACTTTTCTGGAGCCTCCCTGGTTCAGGTATTCAGAGGAGAGGGTGCCAGATGGAGGTAACCTCTGACCATCAGGCCCGGCCGTAGAGGTGTAAGGGGAGGAGGGGAGGCTGTGGTGATACCCTGAGCAGAGAAGAGGAATGGAAAACTGTTTCATAAAGGCTGACGTACACCCTGAACTGTTATGGGCAAACACACAGTTTTCTTTTGTTTGTTTTTTGCTGGAAATTACTGACAAAATCTCATTTATTTTTAAGCAGACATTAGTGACTTGAAAAATGTATATAACAAGCCAAACAAGGCTTCTTTAATGCAACTTAAAAATGAATGCATACAGCCATTGTTTCCTGTAGCTTGTTCAGATTTCTCACTCATATGAAATCATACCTCAGTTTACAATGAAAACTGATGTCCAGGCATGTCTGTGTTGTTATTTAGTATTCAACCAAATGCATCAGCTTTGTTTTCACAAAAGTAATAATCATTATCTCTAACTTGGAGGTTTACAATAGGGGCTGAATAAAAGGAAAAAAAACTATTAGTTGACAAAAGGAAGGAAAACTGTTACATACTATAGGTAATGTGTTTTTGTTTCTGGACTTGTAGTACATAGTAAATGTTTGGCGAGTTTGAGGTACAATATACAGGTGCATCTCAGAAAATTATATTGTGAAAAATGTGTATTCTGTAATTTAACTCAAAAAGTGAAACTTTCACATATTTTATATTCATTATACATACAGGTAAAATATTTCAGGACTTTTTTGCTTTTGTCTTGATGGTTATGGCTTACAGCTCATGAAAATCAAAAATCCATATCTAAAAATATCAGAATAAAGAATGTATAATACAGAAGTGTCAATCAGAGAAGGAGCCTTTAATCTCTCAGTCTGGTTCAGTACACACAATAGATGTCTGGAAGATACTCACCTTCACTACCCTTCACAAGAAGGGTAAGCCACAGAAGGTCATTGCTGAAAGGACTGGCTGTTCAGAAAATTATGTATCAAAGGATGTTCATGAAAAGTTGACTGGAAGGTTAAAGTGTGGTAGGAAAGATGCACAAGCAACAGGGATGACCACAGCCTTGAGGGGGTTGTCAAGCAAAGCCGATTCAATATCTTGGGGGAGCTTTAAGGAGTGGACTGAGGCTGGATCCAGGAAATGAGCTACAAGAGTGGCATTCCTAGAGAAAAAGAACTGGACTGTTGCTAAGTGTTCCAAAGTCCTCTTTTCAGATGAAAGTAAATGTTGCATTTCAAATCAAGGTCCCAGATTCTGGAGGAAGACTGGAGAGGCCCAAAATCCAAGTTGCATGAAGTCCAGTATGACGTTTCCAAAGTCAATGATGATGTAGATGTCAAGAGGATAATTATAGACAAGCTGAAGGCCGCTATCAAAGCAACCTGGCCTTCCATGACACCTCAGCAGTGCCACAGGCTGATTGCCTCCATGCCACGCTGCACTGATGCAGTAATTTGTGCAAAAGAAGCTCCGACTGAGTGCATAAACTTTTTCAGAACTTTTCAGAAGGTCTAGATTTCTGTATTATACATTTTTTGGGGTTTTTGAGTTTCATGAGCCATAATCGTTGAGGGAAAAAAAAGGCCCAACATCTTTCAGTTTATGTTTAATGAACCTATACTATACGGAAGTTTCTCTTTTTGAAACTTAAGGAAAGAAACTGTTTCACAATATTGAAATTTTCTGAGATGCAGGTGTACTTTTACAGAAAAAAAATGTAATTTACAGAAACAAATTAACTGGTGTAGAGCTGGCAATGTTACACCTGTTCAAGCACTTACTCTGTAAAAGTGTTACTTATTTTAAAAGCTTCTGCGAGGCTGGGAGGCAGGACTGATGTGGACCAGCGTTACAAATCAGCTTTGGGCGCCAGAATGAGAAACTGCTATGCAAGGAGCAACATCAAATATGGCATGTTTACACTGTGATTCTGGAAACATTTTCACAAAAATTTCCATTATACTAAAATTGCCCTTTGATTTTTATTTACCCCAGGGAGCTATAAGAAGAATTACATCTGCTACCACACTTACACACACGCCCATGCTGTGATTAATAGTGGGTAATAGCTGAGGGGATACAGAAGGCCCAACCTCTTGACTCCCAGGAAACATAAACTTTGACATTATCAGAGGATTTAATTAAACAATGCTTGTTCGAACCCTACCACGCAATTAATCACTGCCAACTTCCAACATCACACACACACAAACAAACCTAAGCACACACACAGGAAAGCAAAATGTGAATAGATGTAAAGCTTAGATGTAACGCCATCACAAAGCAAGCAGACCAATTATTAAGACACACACTCCAAGCTCATTCGAGACACTCCGATGAAGTGTTGTGTGAAAGCCATTTTTTTGCGTCAGAGACAAGGACAGAAAAGTCCACCATTGTTTTGCAGAATAACTGGAATTTTAGTAAATCCACATTTTGGTTGAAAAAATATCTGAATAAGAGATTAAGTGCTGACTGTTAAAACAAGCTCAGAAAACTGAAAAAGCTTTGAATAACGTTTGTCCAAACTGAGGTGCTTTTCTTTCCTAGCAGACGGGAGCAAGTCGATGTGACATTTTATGCATATTGCCTGCCCTTTGGGTTGCCAATTCATCTCCCGTCGCTTTGTCTCAGTCCCCTCCCTCTAGCTGCTCTGTCACCTTGAACTTTCAGTTTTTCACCTGAGAGGTTGAAAAGTAAAAAAAACAGGCAATTTTGTTTTAACCCAAACTGTACAGCATGCTCTCCAACCATTATCCCTCCAACTAATCACCAAAGCACCTAAAAATTCAGCCAACTCATGGTGTATTTTAAATGATTTATTCCTCACTCTTTCCTTAGTACCTACTCAATATTTCATGTACTTTATTGCAAAGTGTTACAAAATAAAACAATACATAACCATAAAAAAACTTAATTAATGCTTCAGTTGCTATAAGGGGATATTGTAGGGAAAACCAATAAAATATGTTGTCAGTCAACGCTTTGCAGATATGTTTAGTATGAACATTTGCTCTGTTTACTGTTCTGTTTATTAAAAATGTTTCCTCATCATGTAGTATCCAAATGGAACATCTACGATACTGGGTAGAATAACATTAAAACCACGAGTGGGTAGTTTCAAAACTGGAAAGTAATATGTAGAGCATGGCAAGGAACGTGATTTTGCCCATATGTCCCGGGTGTGCTCGGAGAACCGCCTGCCAGACTCTCATTCTCACCTCCTCTTCCGTCCCTCTCTGAGATGGACAGAGGAGAACCCTAGACGGAGGGAGGTGTTAGTGGGGTGGAAAAAGACAGGGGGCGGAGTGAAAGAGAAAGGACACCAGTGTGCATAGAAAAGGAGAGACTGTGAGGGTGAGAAGAGGAAAAAGTAATTCCCAAAGTGAAGAAAAAATGTACGGAGACAACACAACGACATCTGAACATTCATAGTGAGGAAGAAAGAAAAGCGCCGCTTTGCATGTCCTCTCATAAATGCCAAACCATTTGTTGTTGTTATTGTGACAATGTTGTGTTTGCTGCGGGAATGTTCATAATCATCTATTTCTAATTAAAAGATAAACATTCAGAATGAGGTGAATGCAAGTGAACTGGGGGAGAAAGAGGTAGAGATACAGAAAGAGCGGGTGTTGTAAGAGAGAAACAAGACGAGAAATCACTCTTGAGATTGGAGGTATGGCGGCGTTAATTAAACAGCTTAGCCCTGAAGAAGATACTACACCTCCTTTGGCACTCACTGTCCTCTCTTCCCTCGCCGTCCTCCATTTCTTCCTTTTGTTTTATCTTACTCCCCTCTCTCCCTGGCGCTCTATTCATCATCAGCACTATCGTCCACCCAACCCCCATCTCCCAACCCTCCACAATCTGGCAGTGAGGAAGTGAGAGTAGAAAAAAGAATCTGAGTAACAATTGCTACAACAGAAGATTTGAGTGTGTTTCAAATCTGTGGGAAGAGTGATGGAAAGGTTTTTGTGCCTGGGAGGACACACTGTGCTGTTATATATATATTCTTACAACTTTTTTTCCCTTATTAGTCACCTAGAGACAGTTAGAACTACAGTAAGCTTTCACACAGACGCATGCACAGTTACAGAGTCTCAAATCAAAGATCCCTTAACGCCACACGGAACTGCAACTTCTTTCTTGCGAGACGTGTGAGGAAAGTATCTGCTAACAGTGGTAAGGCACCAGTGGTTCAGTACGAAGTGGAGCTATTGAATAACAAAATTTTTAGGATGTTAGAGTTAAAAAGTCCTATAGATGATGAGTATCTATAGATGATGAGTGTGTTCATCAGTTACTGTAGAACTGTGTACTTCATGGTCCCATTACTCTGCAGGAATCCAGTCATACAAAAGGCTCATTTTAAGTAGACAATCATAATTTGCTGTTGCACCATAGGCAGAAGTCTTTCAACACTCAGAGTTGTGTTATTTTCCCAGAACAGTTCTGTTTGTTCATTACAGAGTAAAAATAGTGTGTGACAAGAGTAAAGAGGATTTTGGCCACATACTGACTGGAACTGACACTCCTCCTGAGTGGTTCAAGACCAAATGAGTGACCCCTGCAATCCACACACTGGACTAAAAATAACCAGGGGGCCATGGGTTTAGCCCCGGACGAATCAGAGGTCCTGGAAGCAAACAGCCATCTGACTACAAATGCCCCAGTTGACAGAAAAGCACCTGAGCTTTCTGCCAACAGCAAAATGACAGATTAGGGAGGCGGCAGGGGAGGAACTGAATACACCTGATGCTGCCTTCTCCTCTTCTCTTTCTTTCACTGGTGGAGGAAGTATTCATATCCTTTACTTAAGTAAAAGTTCTAACAGCACACTGCAAAAAATACTCAGTTACAAGTAAAATTCCTGCACTGAAAATGTTACTTAAGTAGTAAAAGTATTTTAGTATATGGAGGAAAATGTACTTAAAGTATCAAAAGTAAAAGTACTCAATGCAGTAAAATGGCCCCTGAGAGTGTTACTATTATATCATATACTATATTATATAATATCATTCAATTATTATTACTCATGCATTAATGTAAAAGCTTACTGTTGTAGTTAGTTGAGGTGGAGCTGATTTGAACTATTTTGT